AATGTATACATATTTATAATAAGGTTTTTTAGCCAAAATGCTCCATGAGATTTGCATAACATATCACTTTGGTCCCTGAGATTGTCCACCATTCATTATTTTGGTCATTCTGTTAAAAACTTCGTTAAGTGTCCCATAGCTTTTGGCCAAAAGTTTGGGCAATTTTTAAAGCTTCGTAACTCAATCGTTTCTTAACCAAATTCAACCCATAATATATCAAAATGAAGATAGAAAAGTATAGAACAAGATTATACGTATTTGGAAGTCCAATGGTTTCCAAAGATGGATGAAAAATAGCCTGAAATGTGACTTTTAGTTTTTCCGTGGACCAGTCACCGTTCAGGCTATTTTTCAACCATCTCTGACAACCATTGGGCTTCCAAATACATACAATCTTGTTCTACACTTTCCTATCTTCATTTTGATATATTATGGGTTGAATTTGGTTAAGAAACGATTGAGTTACGAAGCTTTGAAAATTGCCCAAACTTCCGGCCAAGAGCTCCGGGACACTTAACGGAGTTTTTAACGGAATGATCAAAATAATGGATGGTAGGACAATCTCATGGACCAAAGTGATGTGTTATGCAAATCTCAGGGACATTTTGGCTAAAAAGCCTTATAATAAAATGTACCATTTTTCAATTTTTTGAACACTATGGGTGTGACATCCCACATCACCCAGGGGAGTGATCCTTATATGTATATTCTCATCCCTACCTAGCACGAGGCCTTTTGGGAGCTCACTGGCTTCGGGTTCCGTAGGAACTCCGAAGTTAAGCGAGAAGGGGGCTAGAGCAATCCCATGATGGGTGACCTACTGGGAAGTTGCTCGTGAGTTCCCAAAAACAAAACCGTGAGGGAATGGTAAGCCCAAAGCGGACAATATCGTGATACGGTGGTGGAGCGAGCCCAGGAAGTGATCCGCCCCGGGCCGGGATGTGACAATGGGTACATTTGTTTGACATTTATTATTTCAAAGTTATATTATTACCTGTTTTTATTTATTTATTCAATCAAAATTTTTGAGTATTTTCTTTTTTATTGTAATCATTTTTAATTTATATGCCATATAATATGGGATTTTAAATCCCATTACATGTCAAGTAATTAATATCAAACATATGGAAATAAAGATTAACAGCAATAATGAGGTGTAAAAAGTCAAGGGACTTTGATCAAAAATTGAATATCATTAAGGTTTTAGTCAAAGAATGTTAATGGTTAGGGACTAGATCCAAAGTCTCCCTAATTTATAATAGGGAAATTTTATTTGAACCCATGTAACCTCTTTCTACACCAACTTAAATTTAAATTGTTAATTGTCTATTTCACCATGTTGCATAATTACTATTAAGTACAAAATGAAATTAATAATAAAAGCTAAATTTATCAATAAACCCATTAAACCGTACCATCACTTCTTATTTATCCTACGTTTATTCTAGCTAAAACCCTAATACATCTTGTAGAGTAAAACAAGCTTTTTTTTATTGATGGATAATGATTTTTAAGTTTTGAATCATCCAACTAAGGTATAACTCAATTTATGAATATTTTGTTCGTTTGATTTCAATTTTTTTTAAGTTTAGAAGATGAGTATTTGGGTTTCAATTTTTTTTCATCAATCTCGAATGGTTTGTTAAACTTTCTACAATTGGAAAATTCTAAGGAAAAACTTTTTACCAATGTTCTTAGATTATAAACTTCCTTGCTTGTTGATAAATATAAAGGGATGAATTGTTTGATTTGTTGTTTATGCACATCAGTAGAAAGAAAAAAAGGTAAATGTCTGGGTTTGGTAGCAGAAAAAAAAAAAAAACGTAGCCATGTAAATGTTAGTGGGAAGAGGGGAGTGTGGCAAGGACGCCTCTCTCTCTCTTTTTTTCTTTTTAAAAAAAAAATCAATTACAAATGTTATTTTATAAAGTGAATGGGTGTAAAGATAACTTAACATTTTGAATTAAGTTTGAGAGGGTAGTTTAGGTAATAAATTTGGGTTTAAAGAGAGATTAATTCTTTAAGAAAAAACAATATGGATGAAGAGAGTAAGTTAGGGTGTAGAAATAGGTTATATGGGTTCAAATAAAATTTCCCTTTATAATAATACATATAAGGAGAAGAAATGGAAATTTGAATTAACCCGTTTTATATAATCCCCCAAAATAAATTCTCCTCTCGTCTAAAACCCCATTCTTAGTCCCCACAATTTCAAACATCGATCTCCTGTTTGCGATCCACATACATCAAAGGTACTTCTCGCCCCCTATTTTCCTGTATGTGATTGAGTTTGTGTATTTTTGTTTGTGGGGATAATGTAGTTTTCTACAGCAAGAGCCAGTCTTTATTTTACTTGCGAGGTTGCAAATTTGTCATCTCATTTGTCGGTTTTGCGTAACTCTTACTCTAGAAAAATTCGCTTTACCACTGGTTATATACAGTAATATGTTTAATCATGTGATCTGTCCATGTTCTGGGCTTACTTGGACAATAAAACCCTATGATCTTATTTTCATGACTTTAATTTCCATTTACCATAATGCTTTTATGGTTTTTTTCATATTAAATTATTTCCACGTAGACTTTTACCATTATGTATCAAAGTGACCATTTTTATTAGGGTAATGTTAGGGAGACAAAATTTTAGACAAAATTTTGCAAACTAAATGACATTGGAGTTGATGATTGGATTGTGACTTAAGCGTAAACGTGTTCAATCTTATGGATGACACATCATTTAGTTTGCAATTTTTGTCTACAAATTTAGTATCCCTAGCATTACCTTTTTTATTATGTCCTGTAATATTTATAAAAATTCATCCATACTTTCCTGTTAAAAAATAATTATGATAGTTGGTACTAAGTATACATGACATATTACAAAGGGTTGTTTCTTAAGTTACATGTGTAAATGAATGAAAAGTTGCGACTGGAGTATTTAAGCTCAGGAAGTCATGGCTGCGACGAACCCGCACCTGAACCACAATACGAATACTATCAAGAACCAGAACAATTTATCAAGAACCAGCTGAACCGTACCAAGAACAAGAGCACGAACAATAACAAGAACAAAAACAAGAACAAAGCAAGAGCAAGAAGAGAATGATGAGCAGCCTGCTGGAGAAAATCAGAAAGAGGAAGGTAGGAGCAGCGGCAACGACAAGAAGCATATGAAAAACGCAGCTGCATTAGGACTTGGGAAAGCCAAGGTGGATGCTGAGAAGGCCAAGGAAAAGATCAAGGGTAAAATCAATTGGATCAAAGATAAGTGTCACCGCAAAGACAAGATCTCCAAGTGACCAAACTCGCTAGCTTGATGAAGTGAAATTAATTATTAGTTCTCCATTTTGTAAAAATGATAAGATCTAGGATTAAATTCATTTTCTCTGAAGTTTGAATCATGGTTAGATATGACATTGGTATTGTTTCGATTTGTTTAATATTCTGATTTGTTCTTGACCATCTCTATTTTCCGATTTAACCACAAGTTATTTACTCGACTTTCTTAATATCTAAAAATAGCATGAATCTCTCACAAGTTAACTCTCACGATTCACGTATATAATCATTAATAAGCTTCCAATTTTGATTAGTAGAAACGTTGGCACAACAGTCGGTATCTTAAAAATTCTAATAAAGTCGTACTTTTAGAGCACCTTCCATCACATTTTTTTTTTTTGGATAAAAACAATAGACTTTCATTTCATAGATAAAAGCATACAAAATAGGAGCAAATGCTTTTTTTAACGGTAAATAGGAACAAATGCTCAGTCCATTACAAAAAGGACATCCTCAAGAAGGACATCAGATAAATAAAGGGATGTGTGAATAGCACATCCCTATAAAAGCCCGGAGGGGAGTCTAACCAAAGAAAAGGACTAGCATTTTTGAGTGCATAGCGGGCTAGGAGGTGGGTCACACCATTGGCTTGACAACGAACGTAGATATAAGAAGCCCTCTCAACAAGATTTTAGAATCCTTAATAACATGACCAATATATGACATGTTGATGGAAGGATCCCGCAAAGCTAAGATAATTTGAAGCGATATAATCCTAATGTTATTTTCTATATCTAACTCGCAATGTAATTATACGAGAGGTTTTTTCAAGTACCTGATACACAAACTAGCCACTTCACGTGTCATTATATAAGAGTGAGCATATATGTTTTTGTGTTCCTCCACTTGTATTTTGACACATAGAGTATCGACTTGTGTACCGGATACTTAGAAACATCTCTCGTATTTATCTACTTTGTATGTTGATGGTTAAAACCGATTCAAATATATAATGTCATTTTATTCGGTCCTTCATAAATTAGTTTTACCAATTAATATGAAATATAAGAACCCTTACTTTAATGGGAGATGTAAAATGCTCATGTTTTTTTTTTTTTTTTAGCCGAAAAACTCTAATTAATGGCAAAATGTAAATTATTCATCTTCGACCTAATATGTAAATAAAAACCTAAATTCACATTCTTTTTTACATCTTTAGGTGATGGGAACTACTAATCTAAGAGAGAAAATTAGATGACATCTCGAATTTACATTTTTCTCATTAAAGTAGAACTTTCATTCACATTTCCCAAAAATTTAAAAGGGAGTGTAAATGTAATTTTTACATCTCAAATTTGAATTTCCCCTTCTAAAAAGTTTGAGCCAAACTCACAAATAGGAAAATTTTGAGTCTAATATAAGTGAGCTTAATATATGAGTCTCATGAGTTTGGTTTATATAACTCTGATACAGAGTGGGGGAGTGGCTGCTTCTCCTCGTCGTTCCGTTCAATCTGCAAATCCATCTAAGCAACCACACAAATAGATACGCAACACAATTATAACCTAGTTTGATTCTACAAAATTCAAATTATAAATGACCCCTAATTTCCAATTACAAAGCCATCGAAATAAATTGCACCGAAGAAGATAAAGTGAAAGACAGAAGAACAAGGTTTGAATCTCAACTCTATCAATTAGAGTGAGAGTTGATGATGTGTCTTTGAATTGAGGCTTAAACCTGTAAGGGTTGCACTGGTGCCTTGAATTAGATTACATATTGCAAAGGAAAGGCTTTACGCAGCAAATTTGGGATCTACATACGCACACATAAATATATTCATCCAATCACATCCATCTTGCATCTTGAAATAAAAATTATCATCTACTTAATAGAATATAAAAGGTCATTAATCCAAAACCGGAAAACGTGTCTCAGTAAGCACCAAACTTCTCGACTGAAAGATAATTTACATCACTCGTGAATTCTTTTATTTTTTTTAATCTTCAGAATGTCCCGAATGTGTTCTCACCGCTGTACAGCATGTAAAGAAAGCCATCTTCATCCTTATTTTCCTCATAAATTGCAGACATTATAGCCGCTGCAACAAAATCAAACAAGAAGTATTGATAAAGTTGATTATACAATAGTAACCTACCATACATATCTGGGAAGGAGGAAAATTGTACTAATCATGCACTGAAGAAAATAGTACAATATAGAGAATTTTATCTCACCTGTTGGTGGCAAAATATTCCTAACAAAAACGAAAATAGCCTTCTCAGGACTGAGCTTGATTCTTTTCCGGACAACGTAGACGAACTGGCCAATAGTCAGATCAGCAGGCACCAGGTATCTACATACAAAGAAAACCGGGCACAAATAATTTTTTTGTCAAAATTCCAAAAATTTTGGGAGTACGAGGACCCTATAGATCCAAATAATTTTCAAAATCTAACTTTATGGCTACAAAAATCTACCAAAGGTGTAAGGAAACGATCACCTACGTGGACTAATTAGAGCGTAAAAACATCAAGGCAACAAATAAAATTGGCACAATTCATATGATATCCAGACTCTAAATATGTCACAGATAGAAGCAAAGAAAAAAGTGGTTGTCAAAATGTACGTCAGACGAATATATAAATATTAGGAAACAACTCACTTTTTCTTGTCAATTTGAGGCACATCACTCTTCTCAGCCCTCTCCACAACCACCTGCAGCGGGCAATGAATTACAGAACAAAAATAGAAGAGAAACAAAAACAACTACTGCAATGGAAAGAAATAACAAACATACTGGAATTCTGTCAGGATACTTCTCTCTTATACGAGCAGCTTCGGCTTGTCTCTTTTCTGGCATGTACAAAGACACATAATTTGAACTTCAATACAGATTGTTGACAAAAAAAAAAGAAAGAAAAAAAAAAAAAAGAAGAGCAATTTATATAGCAGGGTACTCCGCAACCGTGCCAATAACCCTAAAAAGAACTTCAACACAGATTCTTTGTCATATGTATTAATAAGTATAATAAGTACTCATGATCCGGAACTTAGAATAGGTACGCTATAAAAATCATCTAGTCAATCGTTCTTCCGTAAGTACGCTATATAAATTACATATGCCTTTAAATAAGAAACAAACAATTCTAATTTTGCTATTCGACTTCTCAGGAACCAAAGATTTAGTGACAATGGTTTTTCTACAATAGAACTCGTAACGGTGTGCTACATTGTGTTTGTCAACAGTTTCTCAGACATGAATCTTATAACAAAAGTAATAGGCACAAGAACCAAATTAACCGCTGAAAGGGTTTTTGGCCTTCTGCTGTAGGTTTCAAGGTTTCGTATGACCAGTCTAATATTCAGCACGGCAAAAGCACCTAGCTAACTTATATTTATATTTTCTTAACGTTATTAGAACGCCACCAAAAGAATATGAAAGGACTGAATATAAAACATGGATGGAAAAATTTAGACTTTCAAAAGATTTATGCAGAATATTACACAGAAGACGAGCAATCAAATAACCCGTAATGTTAAGAACATAGCTAAGGTTCCTGACGACCAAAAGAAGAATTCTAAAACTCCCACCAAAAAAGAAAAAGGGAAAAATTCTGAACCTAATAAAAACGCATACAAGAAAAATCAAAATAATAAAACGTAATGGTTGTGAAATTTTTTTTGTAAATTGAAATACCTACCGAGAGGGTGCTCCATCTTGAACGCGCTTTTGGCCATGGAAACTCTTCTCTGAAACCCTCAAATATAGACGAACAATAGAATAAAAGGTGAAGGAGGGGTTTAAATAAGTGGTGCGATCAATAATATAATTTGAAACAGAGATAGAGAGAGATAGTGTGTCTACATATATATATATATATATATATATATAATACAAATTAAAAAGGGAGAAAATTACCAATTGCCCCCTCGTAAGCTTGTGTTACAAGTTAACAAAGTAATTTGGCACATGCGTAGCATGTGATGTAGTATATTGTTGCAGAGGTTAGGTGATAAATAGGAAGAGAGCAGCAGTGAGAGAAAAAGATGATAGAATGGAATTTTATAAATAATTTTGATTAATCAAATGTTTTATCTTTATTATATTAACTTTTAGTTCTTTTATGCCAATAGCAGCATAATTGACATTTTATCATAGATGGTTGACAAAGAACCTTATTTTTATCAATAGGTATGTTGTTAAGTTTTATAGTAATTTACCCCCCTCATTCAAGTATTTTTCTCTCCTACTTTAAATAACAAGAATTTTGGTAAATAGGAGATCAAGCAATTTTAGATTTTTAGAGAAGTCAAATATAGGACGCGGAATGTCCACCCTCACAAAAGATCATGTCCAGGATTAACATAACATGGGTCATGTCCAGTTAAGGGTTATAGGCCACATTTAGTTTTAAAACTTACAAAATCACTCTTCAACCAGAGCTAAAGAGAATCAGGCTAAGTTTGGCCCTAAGGCATGCAACATGTAATCTCTAAGTAGGCTAAGTTTGTCTCAAAAAAGTAATAAAATATGAAGGAAAATAAAATATAATCTTGTGTGATTGGAGATGAATAAATTTAGCCCTAAAGTAGTCTTTAAAGTATTTATTTTTAGAGAACTAAAACATAACCACATAGCCAAGGGCTATGTTTAGCCCTCAAAGACTGAAAATGACAGTACTATTCTAATTTCAAATCCTCCACCTATTGGAGTTTGGAGTAGGAATATCATTTGTTTAAAAAAAATTACCATTCTAATTAAAAAGACAAAAAAAATACATGTTTAAATTACCTACACATATTACAAGCGGCTAGTTTAATTGATTAAGAACTTTCATTCCTGACACACACAACAAAAAATAAAAAAGTAGGTAATAGTTACCCCACAATGGTGACTAATTAATGCATTAAAATGTATATAAATATTTTTTTTTATCAAATTTTTGTCACCATTTTCTCATTGACAACATCATTATTACCCTAGTAATAGCTACCAAAATAGTTACTAATTAGGGTAGCTATTGCTCACTTTTCTTGCAGTGACGGTTTCACCTCAAGCAATCTCATAACAACCAAAACTGTATTCATAATAATGGGATGCATTTCCAGCAATATTTGCTTTGCTAATTACACTTACATAATTACATTACACCTAACAATTGCTATACTGAGACAATGATCTGCGTCACATTGTTCTTGAACTCCAACTTCTCCGTCGTCATAAACGATGAAAATGTATGTTAGGACAGAAAGATTACACATCGAGATAGGATCAGTTTCGTTTAGATTTGTCAATCATTTCTCGTCACAATCTGGATCTTATAATAATGACAATACACATCTCACCTGCATCTTATCAAAGTCCATATACTCATTTGGAACATTTCATATTCGGACTCATACACACTCCAAATGACATAAACCCATTACGAGAAATATGTAAGGAAAGAAAAATAAGTAAGCAATTTAGTTTTTCTTTTCTTTTATTTTTTTAAGAAACCTTGGCAATACCCAAAAAATAAAAAAAAAATAAAAAAAAGGATAAAAATACATGAAAAAGAAAGGGAGACATAAACCTTATCCCTCTAGAAATAAAAACAAAAAAGATACAAGGAAAAGAGAGGGGGAAAATGAAATTTAACCACTCTAAAAAGTTAAAAAAAAAAACCCCCCCCTCTAAAAGGTCTAAACCTGCAAAACAAGTTGAACAACACCACTAGAAAACAAATAAAAAAGTTAGACAAACTCCAGCCGCCGGTGCCTTGCTTTGCCTTGGGACCGGTGGCAGCCTCTCCTCCCTCATTCTAGCACCCCCCTCCTCCTAGCCTCTTCCCTACTTGCTTCCTACCCAATCCCCCTGGACGTCCACGCCTCTGTGGTGCTGCACATCACCTTTTTCTCCCCTCCCTTTATCGGCGACCATCCTTTCTGGCTTAGATGCAGGCCTTGGTTTCCATTTCTCTAGATTTATTCTAGTACAAGGCTTTTCCCCTGTTTTTTGGGACTAGATCTGCGGTTGGGCTAGTGATTTTTTGTTGTTGGAGAGTCAAATCCCCCGCTATGGCTTGATTTTCTATGTTATGTGGTCCTTCTCAACTGTTTAGTGGTGGCTCCGCCTTCCCCTGGCGGCCTTGACTCTTGGGTGCAACGAACTGACACTAGTTGCAAGTGGTGATGGGTCAATGGTGTGAAATCGTGTTCCCGGATTTCACTGTTATAATCTACGTATTTGTATTATTGAGATTTTATATTAATTTATTTGAAATTAGATTTCAATTAAACTAGTAACGAGAATTGAAGTTTGGAAAATTATTATTTACTCGTTGACCTTTTGAAGTGACAAGTAACGTTTTCGAATAGATCTCGAACCCACGAATGCATAGGCGAAAGCCGTTTGCAAGTCCAAATTATAACGATATAGCTACGGACGTTTGAAATTGTGAACAATAGATTGTGGGAAATATTTAATTCTCACATGTGGGTTAAAGGTTAAGTTAGTTTAATAAAAAGGGAACCAATCAGATTTTTAAGGAGGGGGAGGAGTGACCAATGGGGGAAAAGAGAAAGGAGGGGAAAGGAGAGACCCGAAATGGGTCATTTTTGACCCGCGAACCACCATGTTTGACCCGACCATATCTCCTCCATCCAACTTCCGTTTTGGCTGATCTTGGTGTCCATGGAAAGCTCTTAATGAGCCCTACACCTTTGTAGTGTTAGATTTCCCAATTTCTTTCCCATTTTTCTAGTTCGAAGCCACAAACCCACGGGTGTTATGGCGGCTTTATCCCTTTTGCCGATGGCTCCAACAAGTTTCACCGTACATGACCACCACCAAAAGACTCCCCTCAACCCCAGGAACAACGCCCAAGCGGTGTTGGAGACGTCGGAGTTCAATTGGAAGCCGAATTTGAAGCACACCCACCTTAGGGTTCTGGCGGTTCGTGGCCAGTTTGGGGTGTTTTCCGGCAAAATTGGCCTTGGCCGCAGGTATAAAGTTTACTCTAAGTATTGAGATCTTCGTTCCTGTAAAATTTGGTAATTTTTGGAAATAGTTGGATTTTTTCCGGCGAGTTGGGGCGGCCGACCGCCACCCACGGCGGCGCATGGCCAGGGGGCCGTCGATGTCATTCTTAGGCTAAATTAGATGCTTTGAGCTCATTTTTGGTAATTGTATGATATAAGTTGATGGTTGGAACCCAAATTCTCGACGATACGTTAACTGGTAAAAGTGTGAATCGACGATCCGACCGTTGAATCGTCACCAAACCTTAATGCGTGATAGAACTTAATATTTGTGGATCATAGAAACTTACGGATCGGGAATCCGATGTACAAATTAGGAATCCGATGTACAGATCGGGAATCCGACATACGGATCTTCCCTAATTGGATTTGTAAGTTTGCAAAATAAAATGTCGACCGCCACTAGAATTGGTGATTGGCGAAGATCCGACCGTTGGATCACGATGAAATTTTAGTATGTTGTTTGAGGAACATAATGTGGACTGTGGGAAGTTATTAATCCAAAATTCGATGTACGGACCTTCAGTATCAAATTACGCGGAGTTGTGGACCCTAATGTTGACCGAGAGTTGACTTGTGGTCAACCCGTCTCGGAGCGTTCTAAATATTAAAATTAGTACTACGGGACTAATTGAAAGTTAGTGGGTCTATTTTGGTAAGATAGCGACTTGAATATATGAAATATGATTATTATCTTAATTTCTTATATTAGTATCATTTGTGAATATGAATTGGTCTTATAAATATGATTTATATTGAAATGTGAAATTTATTATTTAACCATAGACCTATGCTAATTAAATATGATTTGGCTTGTGTAGTGATGATGTTTGTGATATATATGTGTTTAATTAACTTTTTAATAATGTGAATGATAATTATGATGAATGTTATGATAATTATGGGATCTAAATATTGTTTGATAATTATTTGGATATGATTGCCAACTGATTACCTATTTGAACTTGGCACCATTACGTAGCATGAGATGGAGATGAAAGTCAGGAGATGAGTTAGGTACTTTAGTAGATCTTTAGTAGAAATAGTAATTGAGGGAATTCCTTGTGTTGTGCTCCATATGACTAGATGCTGGTTGATATGTGGAATCAATAGCAGGTATACGTATAATTATGTTTAATGTGTGATGATGAGATTGCACCACGTAGTTATGGTACATGGATGGTCCTGCTGGGTTTATCCGTGATGGGGGACCATATGTATTCAGGGGTGATCATGCTTGGTATATCCGCTATAGGTGATCACTGCATGCACGACGAGTTTATGCCTATGGTTTTGCTTGGTTTATCCGTGATGGGGGACCATACGCATTCTAGAGGTGATGACGATTGGTTGTACATTGTACATTTTTAGGCGATCATATTTGGTTTGGTTCCGTTGAGTGGTCAGGAACCCGAGGTTGTTGAATTTCGTGGGATGGCCTAAAATTCCATTGCTTGGAGAAGTAGGCTTGGCCTAATTATGTAACTCTAGCCTTAGTTATATATATATATATATATATATATATATTTGTGTCAATGGTTTCGAGAGTCTTGTAATTGAGTTAGAAAAGATGTTGGACGTCTGAGTGACTCCTTCGGGATTTTGATGATTCGATTATGATTTCATAAGGTATGAATTTAGAAGATATGAGAATGATTGTTTTACTTTGATCAAATTAATTAATTAATGCGCCTAGAGGATGGTTTTGTGTTAGTCGGCTATTAAATATGATGTGCCTTATGAATTGCGATGTCATGATGAGACATAATGATTTATATGTTGGATGGGAGAGATATCATGTTTTCATG